CTCTCTCTCTCTCTCTCTCTCTATATATATATATATATATATATATATATATATATATATATATATATATATCGTATATATAAATCGTGGATTGACCGTGTGAAAACGCAATTAAGCAGTTAATCGTCGTAAAATCGCGATCATTGCAAAATCATTGATTGGCTCACGCGAGTGTAACTCGTGCGCTGGTCGGACACCTACGTGAATTGCTCGAGGTGTGAGTAGGTGGCGATAATGCACGTGCCACGGGATATTGTTTCACGATCGTAGGTTAGAGACGGATGTGAGCGTCAAAGGGCGTGCAAAGAACGTGGAAAATTATCTTTCGGTTTGATCCGCGTTCGAATCTTTCTTTCTCTATCGCAATCCCATGCGACCAGTGTTTCAATTATCATTCGCGTTTTTGAATCATAATTAGAATCCCGGTGATTAAGCGTTTTAATACGCGAATGAAGAAAATATATTTTTCTATCAAAATTGCGTTATAATATCTACTACTAAATTGTTAATCCTCTGCTAAAGATCAGATTCATCTCGATTCCATATTATAAACGCGATATCGTTGCTAGATATCGCTAGATGCTTGTTATATTTGTTATATTATTATTATATTGTGAAACAAAGGAAGTATAGCGATATACTAAAAAAAATCATCCAATGAGATTATAAGATTTTAACGTATAATAGTACGATGATATGCAAAATTACGTATTTTATAATATATATTTTATAATAACGATTCAAACGTTATTATTGTACGAATAACAAGACTCGATAAAATGTACATTATAAAACATTGTTTTTCATAATCGCTAATAAAAGAAAAATAACAAAGCGTGCGTGGATTTTTTTCGTGGATAAAATCAACCTATTGTTTTTGACGATGTAGGCGGTCTGCAAATCTGTTACTTCTGCTTCTCTTTGCTTGTTCTACGATGTTAATTTTTTTTTTTTTTCATCGTATCATTTTCATCGCGTCGATCTTTTCTTTAACTATCATAATTGAGAGAAAAAATAATTTTGTGTAGACGTATAATTTATTACGTCTTAATTTGATAATTACGTTAAATTTAGATAAAATGATGCGGTTTTTCTTTTATTTTATTTTAAAAGAAATGTAAATATTTAATTACACATTTCTATGTTCGATCGCACGAATAAAATTGAAACTTTCTAAATACTTTTTAATGTAGCTTTTTGCACTTGAAACAATTTATCCAATTTGAAGAAAATCTTTACGAACGTGTTGATAAATCGTGTCGATTTATTTTAATTTCGTTTTTGAAATTTTTTTTATTCGATTTAGTTTATGGCTGGAACGCAAAGAAATGGTAAAAAATTGATGAAAGTTAAGGACATTTCGTGTGCACGGAAATCATGAAATATTCATAGCTCGATGTGCGTCAAACGAACGAGAGAATGTTGCGGAGTTAAACATAGGCATGTTCATTTTAAGGTACGCTTTAAGGTATATGTGGAATCAACCTCGTTCGTTTACGATACTGTGTATAAAAAACTGTAATTACTAACTTTGCCGACATTTATACATCGATTATTTTATCGCGTGAAAATACTGCTTAATTATTAAATTGTTTAATGAGAATGATGAAAAAAAAAATGTGTTTCTCTAAATTTTCTCTGTTAATCTATATTTCAATTAATGGTTCTTTAAAAATAATGATGGATATGATGTTACGTATATGATTTTGATTTTTAGATCGATATAGATCTCGCGAAGCAATTGCCATTTCGAATCGAGATTTTTTTTATTAATCGTTGCCGAAAATTCTTCGATATTCAAAAAGTAAAGATTAGAAAAGTACGTGATATTTTATAATATTTTATAAGCTACGATCAAACGAAATAATAATATTTCTCCCTTATATTTTTATTCTACAAAGTAGAGAGGGATATAAAAAAGAAAAAAAAGAAAAGAAAGAAAAAAATCAACGGCAAACTGTATGTAGCGACTAAAGTGAAATATAAAATGATACGACACGAGGAATAAACGTAAGTAAAATACGTACTTGTACTTTCGTTTGTGAAGATTTTGATAATAAATTTAATTTTTTAGAAGAAAGAAATTAAAATTAAGCGGTGATCATCGATGAACGAAAGTAGAAATTATACGAAAGAAAGAGAGGAGGAAAGAAAAATACGAATTATGATTCGACGAACGGAAGACCGTATAACGTAAGAACGTTAGTTGGAAACGATTAACGGTTAACATTTTAAATTCGATTTTTCGCCGGCTGTGCAATTCATACGTTAGATTTTAGCGCGGTGTAATCCTCGACACGGTAGCTGTGTGCAGGGATCATAAGTCAGAAAATCTTTTTTCGTATGCGCAAAGCGTGTCACGGAGCCCTACGGGCACACAACTTGGCTGGCTACCCCTCTTTCCCTGCCCTCCTCTCTCTTTCTATCTATCAGGATGACAGTGTCAGTTGTTATTCCAACCGCATCCCTTCCTAAGAACCGGGAGGATTCAGTCCGACAACTTTGAAATTCCCTCTGCGGTTTAAACGGACACGTTGCCATTAGCCGCCCGCTGTCCTCTTCCACGGAGAATTGTTTTCGGTGGATTCCGGTAAATTGCGTCGAGAAATTTCCCTCTACGCTCTCAACTCTGCGCCGAGAAATGTGCGTTTTGCTTCACGCGAGAGAAATATTCGTGAGGCAAAGATGATTCGAGTAAGTTATTCGGAGAGAAACTCCGATAAGGAGATAAATTAATAATTAAATTATATTATAATAAATATTACATATTAAATATATTAAATATTTTTATAATCAATAATTATAATAATTAATTAATTTTTCATCGATTGGTGTATAAATTATTTATACATTCGCAATTTTTTCCATCATTTTACATATCGTGTATAATTACGATATATTTTTATGAAAAAGTTTCCAATTTGCCAATAAATGGCAGTAAATGAGAATAATTGATACAAATGTCACGATAATCTTGTTGTAAAACGAGTAATTTTTTTATACGTGTTCCCACAGAGTTGTCAAAGAAAGAAAAAAAAATCAAAAGTTATACAGTAAAAGTTAATACGATGTAACAACGAATCCTATATTTTTCTTTGCTGCATAAAATACATAAAATATCCTCTCCACGAGGATTAATTGCTCGTAATTGCGTGTCCTCTCGCAAAAGTTTTAGTATTGTTTCCCAATTATTTTATATCCGCATCGTATTCGCAGAAATAATTTTTCGGATCCGAATTTCGGATCAAATAGAATTGAAAATGGAATAAAAGTAACTCTGTCCAATTAGATTTCGGTTTATCGATGTCGGAAACATTTGAATTAGAGAATTATGTAAAATAACGCGAAAGGAAATACGAAATGGACGGACGGGAGAAGGTAGATTGGATCATGCGAAGGGTGGAACGACAGGTTGAAAGGACGATGTAAACGATTTTTCAGGGAACTCAGATGCAAGAAGTGAGACAAGAGGGCCAAGCGAGGAGTTATCAAGCAGCGGAATCATACGCGTAAATATCCTCCTTGTATCGTACCGCACGGTGAATCCGAGAATTGATTTTCCCCCATAAAATGGCAATTTCTCCGAAGGTCGACGTCGGTTGGATCGGCGCCAAGGACGACCAAGATCGATGAAGAGAAAAGCAAATCGATCTCGAGGACTTATCACACGATTAAGGACATGATATCGAGCCGTTTCGGGCAGGGCCGCAAGGACGTTGAGCCGGAACCGGAGGCGAGTTTGAACAACGTTACGGAAGAATTGAGAAAATCGAGTAGGAGCATCGATGAGGAGGAGGCCAAAAAGAAGGATGGGATTTATGGGAAACCGCGGGCTCAAGATCCTCCCCTTAATATGCAACAATATCCGAAGAATGCTTGTAGTAAGTATTACTTTGCCAATCAATTAAGATTTAACGAGGATTTAACGAGAAAGAAAAGTTAAGTTTTCTTCGACTTAATTAATATCTTAAATTTATATCGTTTGGCGAGATTATATGGATAGGGAAGGAAAAATTTAACTCGTAAAACTGCAAGGAAACAAGGAAAAATTAGTAAATACGATAACGTTGATATTTTATATCAAAAAATGGTTTTTAAATCTAGTTAAACTAGGTCACTTGGATAATTGGTTGGAAACCAATCGACCATTCGGTTGGAAATTTGGGATCCTTTACTTTGCAACTAATAGGGTTGTAGAAGGTTTCTTTATCGGTAGCGAAATCAGTTCGCGACGTCGCACTTTCACGATTCACTTTTTAATGGAATCTACATTTAGCTACACTCTAATTTCGTATCCATCCAATGTATCTTTCATCCAAAAATCGACATTTGTCTATCCTATATTATTAATTTTAAAAGTTAATTGGAAGGGAAGGGAGGGGAAAGAATCAAATAAAACGAAAAAATTCTCTCCGATGGATATTGCGAATAATGGAATAAAAAATTTACAGAATTATAACATCGTGAATTTATAGTGGTTTTTAGAAATTCAACTTTCGATTCAAATATATTATAATGCTTCCCGTCTATTCGTGGAACGGGTAATGCAAGCACTGAATAAAATTCAACGTGAAACGTGTTTTCGTGCGAAGAATTTTCGATAATAGAATTTCATAAAATATTTATATATCGTAATAATACATATAAACCGAATATATCTTCACGAGAATTATTTTCATTTAAAATTATTCGTTTAATACATGTTTGATTATCGAGTTCGTTATTTTTAACAATTATCCTTGTTTAAAACTTTTTTCGAATTATTTTCTAAAAACAAAATATAAAAATAACTATTACATAACGATATATAAAAATTTTGTTGGAAAATTGACTTGTAGATACGAATATTGTAAGAGAGAGAAAAAAAAAAAAAAGAAAATTTATATCAAATGTAAGCAGCATTACATTGAAGCAAAAATAATTCTATTTACTTAACGTAAGTTGGTATATATGTTAAAATAAAATCTTGTCAAATGGAAATAAAAAAAAGCAATGCAGTGATTCAAGTTCGATCAGGATTATTGATTAAATTCTTATTTATACTCTTAATTAGTCGAACGAGAGATAATAAGAGTAAATAAGTTGTATACAGATTGTTACGAAATAAAAGTTTCTGTATCATTATTCTATTGTGAATTTGGAATCGCCGTCTCTTAATAAAACGGAAGAAATAAGAATTAAAAATTAGAAATAAATTCTGAAGTAGTAAAAAATAATGTATTTACACGATTGAAAATAATCTAACATTTTACGAAAAAAAAGGATAATAAAAAATATTAATTTACGAAATTTATGAAATTTGTCGTTATACGAATTATCTAGCGTTGTAAAGTATATTTTTATCATTTATTACAAAGAATTTATCTACGTAAGGAGATCGTATTTTAGAATAAAATTATCGTCTTTGAAACATATTTAAATCAATTAAATATAAATAGATTTTATCGTTTCTTTTGCTATAAATGCTCAAACTATTTTTTCGTAAAATCTTTTATTACGCGGACATATCATTTCAATTCTTTATTATTTTCTAGATAATTAACGTTTTAAACTTTCCGCATAAGGATTACAGTTTATTCCCATTCACGGAGAACAAATTTATTTTAGTTCGTCTCTCGCGAATCATCGTATCGTACGATGAACATTCGTAAATGAATATTTAGAAAAGAAAACCATTATATACACACACATATATATATATAACGTGTCGAAATTGCGCTTATTTAAACCATCTGCCACCATCTACCATCTACGATGTAATGGATAATAACGTTTACGTAATATTTGAAAATGGTTTAGGTCAGTACGGACACTCGTATAGTTATCTGAACAATCAGCAGAACGTACCGCTTCCTGGACAACTTCAACCAACGTCGCAAATTCAACCCAATTTACCGGGTCAAAGTGCTCAGCTTCACGTGACGCATCACACTCCACCAGGAGGGGTTCAAACGGTTCATCAAACTCAAGTTGCTGGTTTCGGGCAATCGGCGACAGGTGGACAGCAGGTGCAAAACGTTGCTAGGGAATACGTTGTACAGGGACCATCTGGATTGCCGAGTCAGCAATTGCATCAAGCACTTCATCAGAATCCTCAGAACCAGGTAATCTTTGATTTCCGTACAATCGTCTTTCGACTAGTTGTTTTATTTCGCTTACGAATCGAAATTCTTTCTCTATTGACGAATAAGTAGGGCAAATAAGCGTGAAAGTTATTACGATGAAAATTACTTTGACAGCCAGCAATTTTCTTCCGATAGACAAGATGTTCACTTCTTTTAAATATGAATCGACGTTGTTACGTAAATATATATTTGAAGTTTTATTAAAAAATTATTATAAAATGATACGAAATATAAAGTAATTTATGATATCACGTTAGAATAGTACATAAAATAGGTATATTTCTGGAGAATCGATATAATCGATCTTTCGAGAAAAGTGAGATATTTTAATATTATAGTGCGTGATTCGTTTAGAATAAACTAAAAAATATTCTATTCTCCGATGACATATAATTTTATTTCATCGTTTTTGTCATCGAGCAACAGGAATGGCGAATAAGAATTTATCACAATTGAAATAAAATAAAATAATGCCATAAAAAATATGAAATAAAAATATGAAAAAATTGCGTATTTTTAATTAAAAAATTGGAATATGAGAGGAATTTATTGGAAAAATTTTCAATTTTCCTATAACGAATATTTGAAAAGTTTTATCATTCGTTACTTCCTACATCTGTTCTAAATGATAAATAAAACGTTTAAGAATTGAAAGAGAAACGTTCCGTTAACCATTTTCAAAACTATAGGATAATTATTACAATCTTAATGATTAAATTTACATAATATCGATAATTTTTAATGTATACGAGATTAAACTCGTGAGATAAAAGGTACATATTACGAATAAATTTGATTTAATAAAACTTCGCTCTAATTGGATATACTTGGAAACTACTAATCATCTACTAATGGTTAAAAACATTTAATGTGCATATGTTTATCGTTAATTTTTACATTAAAAAATCCAACTTATCTTTTTATCCGATAAATAATTATACTTTCGAATTTTGAATTTCGTTGCAATACTTAAATCCAACGAATAACGATAAATTGAAGAAAACAATTTATTTTCTCACCACTATCGATCGTTTGTTAAATATTCAACGAGACAATAGTTCCTCGTAATAGATTTCAATTTGGATTATTCGCAGAAGCATTTTTAGACGTTCTACTGTGGTCGCTGTTTCCAATAAAAATCCCGCGTGGAAATTCTATTTCGAACAAGAGAAATGTTTGGACTGATGACTATTTCCGGCTTGAGCAGCGGAAACATTACTTTTTATAGTAAAAAAAAAAAAAAAAAAGAAGAAGAAGAAAAAGAAGAAAAGAAAAAAAAAAGAAATCTTTTCCTCGTATAAATTCCTCGTAAAAAAAAGCATATAACGCGACACATACATCCTATTCAAATAGCAACAGTGCACGTGATACGTATTCCATATTTATGCCATCTAAAGCCGACCACACGCAACACGATGCACCGTGCGTACCTTCGAAATTTATTCGCATCCCGAAACAACGCGTCACATCGACAAATTTTTGATCGGTTTCTGGTTATTCCCTGGCAACATTCGATATGTGTAGTTTAACGACACATTATTATTACCGTTTGATCATCGAGGAAAAGTTAAGTTTCTAACTTCTAAGTTTGCGGATATAATATAATAACAATTTTTTAATACCCTTGAATTTTGCAATAGATTCTTACTTCATCCAAATCTAATTAAATAAAATTCATCCACAAGTTATCATAACGGTACGTTATTAAAGACAATTAATTAACAAGTAATTGCAAAAAATCGGCGAATCGCTGCGAATGGCGTTTCTAATTAATACGTAAGATAATTAATGGAAATGCAAATTGCAGAAATTAGAAGCAGTTAGAATGGTAAAAAAAAATAAGAATGCGAATATGTTGGCTTCCGTATTCGAGACGCGAGTAAACTGACAACTAAATTAGTAATATGGATGCGGATAGTAGATAGAAGATCATTATGGTACGTCGTCGTTACATTCTGAAAGATGTTGTTAGCTTATTACGAGAATTCCTTCGATACAATTATTTATTTGGAAGGTAACTGTAATCGAATCGAGGATTCTTTCGATTCGATTTTATCGCGTGATTATCTATATTTTAGATTAAGATAAATACATTTAAACGCGATATTACATTACGCGTATATTACATTATAGAAGATAATATAAAATTGCTAAAAAAAAAAGTATATTCGAAAACGTGTTCGTAATTTCGTAAAAAATCGAAAGAAATCGAACGAGAGCTTTCTCCCAGATTCGAAAAAATTTGATCGATTAATCGAGGAATCGTTTTTCGCATAAGGGCCAGAACACGCAGATGCAAAAGTCTCACGGTTTACCGATTCAACCTCATCAAGTGGGGAATTCCATGCAGCCATCGAATCAAAACTTTCAAAGCGCTCAACAATTGATGCATCAGAATCAGAGTCATCATCAGAGCCCTAGATTCGCCCAACAACACGCGCAGAACATGCACCAACGTCAACTGATCCAACAGATGCATCAACAACAATTGGCCGGGCAGCAGAACGCCAACCAGCCAGGAGTCAGGAACGTGCAACAGAGTTATTTCTCGAACAACGTGTCTTATCAGCAGTACCAGCAAGCCCGACAGGCTATGTCAAGATCTCAGATCGATCTACCCAGCACTTCGAGACAAGCTCAAGAACTGAGGCTGCCCGGCCAAGAGGTATACTATCATTACGCTCAAGGCCGGCCTAGGTACGGTGTACCGCAAGTCTACATGAAGACCGAAAGTAATCAAGAGGCCGAGTTCCAACGACGAAACTCGACCAAAGGTATCGAGAAAGCTGCTTCCCAACCGCAACTCTGCTACGAGGACGAGAGGGTTGTTGCGAACGATCCCCAATCGAGGAATCCGATAATAGATCCTATCAAGGGTCTGACGGTTGATCCGTTGGACAAGGAACGGTACGAGATCACGGTGGAGGATCACGGTGGTGGAGTAACAGCCGAGTTTGGAAGAAGCGATTCTCAAAGAAAGGAGACCGAGTATCGACCGGAGACAAGCTTCGGTATACGCAGAGACGACGCTGTCAGGTGTTCGAAAAGGGAACAAGAGCAAATAGGGATGGGTGGGCAAGATGGGCAGGAGTCGGAAGGAAGTTCGGTGCAGAAGAGGATCGAGGAGTTGCAGAAACGAGCCGAGGAGAATCATTATAACGGGAAAGTGTCGTCGAAGGAGGGTATGGAAGGGGCGGAGGTAGGTAAAAGTTCGTCCACGACGAAAATTGGAAACGGCGATGGACCAAAGAGAATGGAGAATCAATACGCAAAGGATCTTGTTCCGGCGAAATCCGAGGTAAGAAAAGACGAGCTGGAACATGGGATCGGTCGATTGAAAATCCAAAATCAGGGATCAGGATCGGATTACGACAAAGCCGGCCAGAGTTCCTCGAATGTTGATTCGGGGAGAGGATCGGCCGTTTATTCCAGCGGAAGGCGGCCACCACCGGAAGATCAAACTCATCAACCAGGTTTGTTGTTTGCCAATTTCTTTCCTCGCCGCGATAAATGACTTCCGCAATTTCTCTAAACATTCTATAAACTTGAAACGATAGTAATATATTCATGGGCCGTTTTTAGAGAATCGAATCTAAAGATTAAAACAAATACGAAACTCATTAAAATAAAATTTTTCGTAGTAAACGAAAAGAAACAACTTGACATTTTTCTATATAAAAAAATTTTTTTTTTTTTTTGCGTTTGTTTCGGTCTCTAGAATCGATCCTCCAAAGATATCTCACGAATATAATATATCAATACTATATATGATTATTCGAAAAATATTTTAACTACGATCGAGGAGAATAAAATTATTTGAATAAATATTATAAGATAAGAATTATAAAGGAATCGACGAAACTTTTTTGTAATAGGCAAAAAATTGATATTAAAAGATAAATGATCGATTTTTATCCATATCTCCAGTACAAGACTCAGAATGGGTGGACATTGTGGAATCCGAATTGAGAAGTATTTTAGAGCCGAGAGATGTGCCCGCTATGGCGCATTCCACTCTATCTGAAAGCGTATCATCGGTAACTCCACCCCTGCCGCCGCTTTCACCCCATGAAAGTCCCAGAACATCGAGAAATCGATACTCGGCGAGGTAACGTTCGAACTTTGAACAGATTTCTTCTCGTAACCGATGTCACTTCCGGTCACTGCTCCTTCAGCTTGCTCCTCTCCGCGTAGATCGAAACATCGATATCGAATCGATCAAAATGTTGAGCATACATTGTAGACCGTAGATCGAGCGTGCTTTTTTTTTAGAGAGCGTAACAGAGGCTATCGAAACTAGAATCAATTTTTTTTTTCTTCATTTTCTTTAGTTAAAAGAACTTTTGGCGATATCGTTAACTCGTAATGAATATATCTATCGTTTAATCATTTATTTTTATTACTGTCGTTGTTGAGTTGTCTACAAGGTTCTTTTTCAATTTAATTTTCTCCAGAATTATTACGAAAACATAGTTATTCGTTTTTATCGTCTTTCTTGTATTCCAGCAAATATTGGTGAATATTGACAAAATAATAACGTAATAAAGCGTTTAAAAATAATAATTTCTTGAAAAATATTTTTCAAAGTAAAAAAATCTACTATAGGGAGCGATAAATCGTTTTTACGAAAACCACGTTACATTCAATCTTTTAGCACATTTATTTCTTTCGAACGATTCCATTCGATAAAAGATAGACGAAAAAATGTTATACGTAAAAATTGCGAGACGAATAAAATATATATATTTGATCAAAAAAATTTTGAAACATCGATGCATGTATCCATTTTCCATTTCCTTTATTTATTATATAGTATTGTATAGTATACATCATAGAATTTGTTTCGGATGAAATTTAACCATCTTTTTGCGGCTTTCTTCGCGATGCTAACAGTTGCATGTTTGTGGGTCTTTTAGCTTACCATACGGATCGAAACCTAATTACAGCGATTACAGCAAGGCCATGGAGAAGAGAGGATTCTCGAGTAGTTCGAAGCATCGTGGTGCCTCGACTTCCAAGAAAGAAGCTGCTAAGAAGTTCTCTCATCGTGAGTGATCTCTTGTTCTTTTTCCTTTTCTTTTTTTTTTTTTTTTGTTACACGCGTTGATGATTATTCGTTCCTTGAGACTATAACGAGTATTGTGTATTCAGTTTTCGGTGTCGAAGCTGGCGATTTAACTTCGACCACGACTGGACTCGATTTAGATTCGATGTTGGATAGAAGTGATTCTGATTTAAGCACGAATGACGCGAGAACGATTAGGAAACAACTGGAGGGTTTGGAAAATATGTATAGCGAGGTGAGACGTATTTTTATGGAAAATTTTGAAATATTGATTTTTTCAACATTTTTCTTTTCATATTCGAATAATATTCTATATCGTGTGATGTGAATAAAAAGAACAAATATTGATAATAAAGAATATTCTTTTGTATCTAAAGGAAAAAGAACACTTTTATTTTTCATTTATAGCAACGATAACTTTTGTTTCTTTTATATATATATATATATATATATATTATCGTTTATATTGAATCGATATATATAGTTTAGATTTTTGAATAATGAATTTATTACTAAGTTATCAATATTTTAGCGGTTTCGATCGATATAAATTTCTAAATTTAGTTCGTCAATCTTCTTCAACAAGACACTAAATATAAGGGAAATAACAATTTCTTGTACGTAAAAATGATGTCATTTTCGAGAGAACATATCGTTATAAAATTTTTCCTTAATTATTATTTGAATAATTCGATAGTGAATAATTGGAATATATCTATCTATATCTTGACGTGAAAAGTTATAATACAATTGGATTATGGATATATCACAGGTATTGAAATTGCTCGGTGGAAGTGTGAAAAAGAGACGTAAAGCCAGAGGCTTAGCCAGTTATGGTTCCGTCTCATCGTTGCCGACATCATCCGTCTCGTCCAGGCCACCTGTAACGAGGCACCATGATAAACGCAGATCCCACGCGATTGACGACAGAATGAAGAAAGCCAAAGACATCAAGGTCAGTTAGAGAGATTATTCCATTTCACGATTTCTAATCGCCAGAGATTAAATAAAATTATCCATTATTTTATGCATTTATTGAATAAAAAAATTACGAGCTGAATTTTTAACTTTTTAAATTCCTACGAATATGTCAATCGTCTTCTATTATTTCAATGTTTTTAGAATTTATTCCACATATTTTTATAATATTTAAAATTGATTAAAGATTATCATTGCATCGTTACAGAGTATTAATAAACGCTTTCAACGACTAGAATCTCACGTGGTTACACTTGCCAGATCGGTGGCACACTTGAGCTCGGAGATGAGAACGCAACATTTAATGATACAGGTGAGAGAGAGTCTCGTTAATATTTAGGATCGAATAGTTGGATAGCTTGGAAATGATTTTAAAAGATCTTCCATGTTATTTATAGTTATTTTTGAGAGAAAAGAAGTTTATTTTATCCAATATTTTATCCAATATTAAATCTATATTTCGATACAAATTCGTCCAATTTTTATATCGTATCGAATAATTGTCGTCGAGCCAAATCCAACAACAAAAGAGCGTAAGGAATAGGAAAGAGAGTAAAATAAGTGGAAAAGCGAGTCGGAATTTCCGAAACTCACTACTATCAGGTATTCGCAGGAAATGGAGAACATAAGGGGAGAGATTGCTGCACTGAGGACGCAAACGAGTATGGCAATGGTGAGATCGCAGTCTCAACCATTGATCAAGGATTCGGAACTACCAGCTCTCTCCAATCCTTCCAGAGTGAAAAAGCTCACCAAGTTCTTCGGCACGGAGCCACCTCTCATCAGACTATTCCTCAGGGAACTTGGGTATGAGGTAAGTAATTCGAATTATCGCTTTCTTTCTTTTTTTTAATAATGTCTCGATTCGAAAAATTATCGTCGATGTATCTTATCTCTCCCTTTTTCTTTCTCTCTATTAACTTTAATTTTAAAATAATTATTATAGAGAGATCAATTACGATAATCCGTAATTTTTATTTTTATACATATTAAATTTATTTATTTTTTAACAATAGAATTAAATTTTATTCCTGAAAATTAAATATATTTCGTGTTTATATAATTTTAAAATATTCGAAATGTTTTTACCATAATGATTATGATGAAAGTAAATGGAAGGAAATTTCATATTTCATAATATAAAGCGATATTTAAAATTTTTTAAACAGCGAACATTGATCTTCATTATTATCGTTTATTTGATTTATATTTGATTAATTTTTTAATTGTAATCATTTAGCAAACTGATAAAAATTAAAATTATATCCGATCAATCAGAAGATTATTGTAAACATAATGAAAATATTCGATTTTTACGTTTATTTCATACAACAAAAGAAATATGCTACGTTTATTTATATATTTTATTTATACACTAAATAAATAATTTTTACTTGAAACCAGAAATATGCGAATGCTTTCGAGAAAGAAAAAGTCGGAATGGTGGAGCTTCCTTATCTAAGCGAGGAAAGATTGCAAAAAATGGGAGTTCCCCTGGGACCGAGACTGAGGATTTTACAAGAAGCGAGGATATCGGTGTGCAAAGATCCAATTTATGTTGTGTGAGTCTCGTGGAATCCCTTGTTCACCTGAAAAGCTACAGAACGAAGAGATAATTAAAAAAAAAAAAAAATCGTTTTCATTTCATGCTTTTAATGGATTTTAAATTGTTAAAAGTGTATCGTTCTTTCAATTCACCTCAATGAAAGATAATTCTCTCGGATGAAATCTTAAACAATGAACAGATATTGAAGAAATTAATATTTTTTATAAAGTAGAAAGATAATACTGATAAGAAGGATTGAAGAATTAATTGCGCTTTATTTCGTGTGTATTAATGCGATTAATAATTACTTTAAGATAGAGATTATGGTTTTGTACGTTAAAATGTGTATAAGTGGTCAGGGAATCTGTAAAAATATCTGTATTTTTAATCGTATAACTGAAAATTAAGAATTTTTTAGTTAAATGTATCATTGATCTCGAAAATGTCTAATTCTTACGATACACAACTTACTTGTTACTTAATTTTTTTTTAACAATTTGATTTGTACTTTAATTATATATATGATAATAACAATTTATTATATCGATAAAAACTTAGGAAGTAAAATAAAGGAATAAAAATTTCTCCGTTATATCTACTTTACTACGTTATGTTTATTAATTATATTAAGAATAATTAATTTTTTATTTCCCTATACATGTTCAAAACCATAACCTCTAATATTAATATGTCACAAGAAATATAGCTGATCTTGCGTTTAAAGATTTAATTCGTTCATTTATTCGTTGAAAGAAACGTGAGAAATGCGTTAATCCTCAAATAGTATTGTTAGCTCTATGAATGACTTATGCTCTAAATAATATTTGATTATATTATATATTCAAAGTTTAAACGATAAAATTTATTTTTGTCGTTTCAAATATAAAATACGAGATGTAATCAAGTATTTTATAATTAAATTATGGATATTGTATATTTATGATTTATTTAACGGTGCAAAAAATTGTACAAAATACAAATAATATACAAAGATATAGAAAAATACTCGTTACAATATTTAAATTTCTGTTTAGTAGTATCATTTATTCAACTTTATTTGTGCGTTCATCGAATATTCATCGTATAATTCGCAAAAAATAAATACTTTACCTGTTATCGAACAATACTAATTGAAGGTTAGCGTTTTAGATAATATGTAGATAAAATAAGGGAATAATAATAATTATTTAAGATTCTTATAGATTCGTTTAACTTCTATAATTTATTATAAATTATTAATAAACCGAATACTCATCATTACATATACATATAACATGTATTTTATATACATACATATATACATATACAAATGATAACTGCCTCATTCAATTAATTTTAAATCTCTCATATAAACTTTAAGAACGAATATTATAATAAAATAGAAGGAATAACGTTAATCAAAATATAAATACCTTTTACGGTATTGTCGTCGATTTTAAGAAGCTATACAAAGAAAGTAATCGTTGATTTTAATTGTTTATGCGTCAATTAAACGAACGACCAATTATAGCGAGTACAATTTCTTATTTTGTATAATTACAATTAATTATAATTACAATTGATCGATCACTTTGGAATATTATAGATAATACATATTTTGTAGACACGTTTAATCAGAAGGGGAACATCTTATGAACGTTTTAAAAATATCTTATCAAAAAAATTAATGTATAAAAAATTTTTTTATTGTACACATGTTCTTACTTACAATGATTCGTAGAAATATTTGAACACTTGGTGTAGAAAAATTATATAAATATAATATGTATATGTGTTGTGCAAAAATATTTAAAATACAATAAATATACATACATATATATATATATTAGGACTACTCGAGATCAATATGTATACTGAAAAAATCCAAAAGTATATTTTATTATAAATTTCATACATGGAAATGACTAATATGATTGAAATTTATGGGAAAACTTATTTAATAGAAATTGGTATAAAGCAAAAAAAATTTAGAGTGTTTTCCATCTCATTAAATACAAATGAAAAAATATTTCAACGTGTGGTTGAAAAATCATTTTCGTTTCTTTTCATTCTTTTTCGTATCTTTTATTAAACTTTATTTCGTCAAAATCATTCCAATTGTTAATATATTCTACGAACTTGATTCTTTGATATTTATTCGTTGCTCGAGTAAATTGTTAACGAGTTTGCATATGAAGAATAAAAGTGAAAAAAGATCAGAAAAAATATTTTTGATGATGTGATTCTTATATATTTCTTTTTCGAATATTTTATTAAATTTTATTTTTTCCCAAGTGATATTTTAAACGCATTAACGTTATAATTATAATTAATTAGTAAAATTGTTATCAATTGCCGTGAATTTAATCAAACTTAATAACTCGTTAATGAAACCATTTTGAATACATGTACATATATACATGAATTGTATAATCTTGCTAATCGTATCTATTTATGATGTGTTATTTAACAATTTTTAATACACATATTATATTTGTAAAAACTTTCCGAGTGTTCTAAGTGTTCGAATCTTTCGATTCAATCATAGATTGTTTTCGATATGTACAAATGATATTTACAATAATAATATATAACGAATATTTTGTTAATGAGAATCTAAATCTATCGATTAAAAATTAAATGTTCATCGAATATTATATTATTATATTTTCTGTTCTGTTTTTGGGAAAAAACGATGAATTCTCCAATTTCATTAAATAAATATAAATATAATTAATCTTAATATAATTAATAATATAATTAATGACAATAATATTAGAAAAGTATTTATACGCATAAAATATATTTTTATGTTGAAATTTATAACATTTTATCGAATATCTCGTACGAAATATTTTTAAATCGTCCGAAATATAAAAAATCGAATATAAAATGAAGAAATGTGTTTCAAATGTGTCGAGACGATTATATTCTATCTGAGTAGATTGTACGTTAAGTTTTTTTTCTCCGATCGATCGGTCCCAATCTATGGAACGGATCGATTCTATTGTCTCGATCGAGAATAAGCTCAAACAGTTAACGCGAATGCGCAGATTGGAAGCAAAAATGAATTTTTGCCAAAGAGACGTCGAAACGTCGTCGATCGAGTGGCGTGTCGAAGATTGTCATTTCGAGGAAGCGGAAGAAATTTTTTTCCTAGTGTGCTATATTGTTTTCGTTTGAAACAATCCAACGAATGTTATTTTCGTTCTAACAATTTGATTATGAGAGAATTACGATGCGAGAGAATTTATATAAACACGAATTACCAAGCAAATTTTGGTAAATTAATTATACGAAATTGTTTAAATCGGCTCTTTTCTTTCATAAAGAAAGTTTTACAAAAAAACGGGAAGAAAAATAAAGTAGAATTGAAACGAATTGCCGTTTGACTTTGAATGGAAAATCACCGACACGAACCGTCCGTGTCCCACTTCGATAATATTGATTCGTTGGACAGAAAACAGAGTTTGCCCAAAAAGCGGTCTCTCGTTCGCGGATCTTTGCCAATTTTACAAAAGACACGGCTCCTTATCCACTTATGAGCAATCTTTTTTCTTTGTGCTTTAAAATTTAAAAGAAAAGAAAAAGAAATAATTCGTTCATTCGAAATAATTACAATTTCGAACGTTATTAGAACGAAATTAAAATTCAAATTTTATAGTAATCTATCGAAAGGAAAGAAAAGAGGGAAATTTTTGGAATTTTCGTTTTCATTGCTTATTTATTAATTTATTAAACTGGATTTATCGCGTGAAATAATAAAAAAAAAAAGAGTTTCGATTACCGTCGATTACTGTTGAAGCACACATAACGTTGATACCAAAGAATCGATACCCGCTTCTTTGCAATGATGATTGCTACAACGATTTCAATTATTGCCAATGATGTATTGATTATGTAAAAGAGCGACACGCCGCTTCGATTCTCAATTAATATCGATTCTTGTTATCGAATTCACGTGAGACATGATTCAATGTTAACTGTAACTTTCGACGTTAATTTAATTAATATGCAAATATTCGATGATTCTCGATAAATATTTGTTATTAAGCATCATTATATATCGTACCTCTCTTACAAAGTTTTTCCATGTCTTAATAATATCTTCCAGACGTGATTCCAGACAGTTATATCTCGTACCTGGTACTGTTTTTGACATTACCTGGATTTTTGATTTTATTATTATCTATATTAAATTTTGTACAGTTATTTGTAGGAATGTTTCGATAATAATATCATTAATATCATTGTTTTAATATTCGTATTATTATAAGTATATTATTATCTTGTTAAATTTTGTATTTAATAAATAAGTGAAGAGAAATAAGTGGAGATTTGATGAATGTCGATTTTTCGTTCAACGAATACTTTAAATGTTGAATAAAATGGTTTGGTGAAAGGTTTGTGATGATTATGAAAATAATAACAATTTAAAATTTACTATCATTAAAAAGCAAAAGAATTATAAAAATTGTAGGAATTACGAATATTTTGAATTTTATTAATATTAATATTAGTTTTATTATATATTTCATGTTATTACTTTTATTTTAATTTAAGATTTAAATCTAATTTTTATATTATTTTGCTAATCATTTTCTAGAACATACTTTATTACGTTATATAGTATAATTATTTGCGCAAATATAAATAAAATAAATAAATAAAATATTATATATAACTAAAATTCTAAAAAAACAAATATGACATAATTCTTAAGATTAGGCAATTATTTTATCGTTTTGCCAGAAATCAATGATATATTTAACTGAAAAATTTTACAATTGTGTCATTTTTCTTCCAAATCGATGACATTCGATTAAAACTTGAAACAAATTCACTTCTCACGTTAATGTGAGTTCTATAAATAATGATATAGAAAAAATAAAAAAAAAAATACTGACAAATAATCTTCGTTAAAAGTAAATAAAAATTAAATTGTTCTTTGATTTAAAACTTTATCTCGAAGAAATAACACGAAAAGCTATTGCGATTTACGAAAAGATTTTCTAAACTACACGCCGTCTAGTTCCTCGTGAATCAACCGTTTCTTTCAATTGAATAATCGCGTGTTAACTGTTATAACTCACAGTGTACAGACCATCACTAAATGATCTGCTATTATGGACCCAGACCATGGACTGGCCTCTAATCGACGCTGTGAATAATAATTATTTCGCTTCCGATCATCCATCGCCTAATTTAATTATCCTAACTATTCTGTCTCTTTTTTAATTGCCGTTGATTACTCGTTAAAATTAAACGACGATCTTGCGATTATAATAATAATAATTCGTTTCGTTCATTCGATAATAATTTTCAAATATTTTCCCATATTATTTTATTAATTAAATAAGATTAGTTAAATGAGAAGAAATTTGTATTCAACATGGATGAAATGTGAAAAATAAGATATGATTAATGTTCCTCGATCTTAAATTGATGGTTATATTTTAAAATTAATAAATAGTAAGATTTTATGGCAAAAAAAATAAAAAAATAAAAAAAAGCGATAACATTAGAAGAAAGAAAACTTAATACAAATTTGCACGATAAATGGAAGAAATCGTTAGAACGAAAACTTTAAAAAATAATCCATAAAGTGGGCGTCTACGAAAGATAAATGAAAATGCTACTGACAAATTGATAATTTATAAAATAGAGCAGAATCCAAAGATAAGCGACGATCGATTTGAAAAATGATCGTTAACGATATTTGTTTGTTTTAAGTTTTAAGATTAGACACATCCTACATTTGGTCGAAAATATTTATCTTGTAAACTATATAATCTCAAGATTTTATTAATTTGGTGAAACTAATCGTTTAAATTTTTTTTTATTTTAACGATGTTAAAGTTGAATGCTTAAAAGCTTAAATTATTAATTATATCGATTTCGTACTACGTACAAGCATAATATATAATATATATTGGATAATATCGATAAATTATTATGCAACATTATGCAAAGTTGAGAAATGATTATAATAAAGCATAGATCGCAGTTTGAGAAACATTGGCCTGATTCTGTATAAATTGTTACAAAGTTGCGTCATATTTTTGGCACGAGGAAATTAAAATGATGAAATTAGGTGAAACTTTGTTCGAAGTAACCAAAACGTAACTTGAGAAAAACTTTTAATGGACAGAGAATTAAATAGCTTTATGATCTTCGCATTATTCATTGTATCGATAGGAAGATATTTTTAAGTAAAATTGTTACATTTCTATGTAATAAAACTTTAGGTTACGATGTTTGTATTTAACATCATATTACGTATATGTAAAATATTCGATTTGAGAATATAAAGACGAAATACTTGTTTTCTTGTTAAATAATATTTTATGAATTAAAATATATTGTAAAAAAAAAAAAGAAGAAAATGAAAACGTTCATCCATTTTATTTTAAGCAATTGTATTATTCCATTTTTTCTATCTCTTGATCAAATTCAATGAGAATCACAAATATACGTGGTCTCTATACGAGCGAAATTAAATCGAAACGAGGATCGACTGAGCGAGACATATTTGAAATTTCGGCAGAATCGACGATGTCCAGACTGTGTTCCGGCATGGCCAGCCCACTTTTATCAGGAAATGCACAATTTAACAATTGTGTCCAATTATTTTTCCCGAGGCCTCGGTCTTTGATTGGCCATCTTGGAGATCGCATAGCGGCAGCCCTTTGCCCATCCACCTAGTGATCCGTTCATTTCTTGTTTCTACCAATCTGATGATTCAAACGTGTCTCGTCTCGTTATCGTGCCATACTCTGTCCTCCTTACTGTTGCTTAAAATATTCTTTCTTTATCCTTTATCGAGCGTATGATCACGATAAGACTAATTATCAGAATGTAATCTTCGAAACTAATCCTTTGCGATGTTCTGACGCAATTGACTCGATGATCCAACTTGGAAAGGGGTCAAGTATCACAAAAATGAAAAATTGTAAATTTTATAAACTCGATGATTTCGTATAATTTTAATCTTTGTAAATTTATAATGAATATTGATCGCGTTTTTAAGAATTTTTTCTTTTTTTTTTTTCCGTAATCCTATGACTAAGTCATTTTTCATATATCTCTACTTCGAGAGTTAAACATGTTTTCTTCGTGAATGATAACTAAAATAAAATAGTCTCGTTAGTTCCTAATCAATTTCGTTCGCTTTAACTATATAATGAGATACAAAAGTAGATCATTAATTTCTAAGTAAGATAAATATACGTGTATGTATCTTTTTATCATTTATTATTAATAAAAAAAAATTCAAAATATCAAGTGTGAAACAATGGATTAAACAAGATCACGATAAAAGTAATAGTTTCATTATTTTTACTTATCAGTGCATATATGTATATGTATGTATTTTTTATTGATAAGAATGTTCGATACGACTCGCGAAAAATAAACAAGAAGAAGAAACAAACGATTTGGCATCCAATGAAAACAAGAAATCAATTTTCGATCGACCGAGATACGATTAGTTTTTCTCCGATATATCATCTCGAGTATTTTGCAAATTGTAAATAAAATTGTAAATGAAAATGTTGAAAATAGCTCGATTTACAAGTGTCTTTTATAGTAGGTGTTGAAATATTTTGGTGCGTTTTACCGATTGCGGAAATAGCGATAGCCAGTGTGAATCAACGGAAGAAGAGTGTAGCGTGATAACAACGTGGAGCTGCCCTCCGTACAGTTTACTCGTGGCTCAAGACACAATTTCAATTGACCTATGGCCCCACTCTCAGTCCTCTCCCCTCGTCCATCGTACGCGTTCTGTTCATAGGCCAACATAAGCGTCTTTTCCTTCACTTCGCAACGACCATCCATCGAAGATGAATCGAAACGGTACGTTCCTCTTCGCCTTCTTTCTCTTCGCCCTGTCCATCGTCTACGCGGAATTAGTACCTTGGAGGCAGTGTCCTTATCCTGATCGTGAGTATTCGATTCTTCCATTTATTTGACGTTTAAAGTAGCAATGATCGATGAATTCGATGAATGAAGAATCAATCGATAATGATGAATTAAGAGGAAAGACAGATTTATCTTTTGACAAAATTACCCACTTATTACTCGTAATATGTATAAAAGAAAAATTTTACTTATGCGGTGATGTAAGATGTTAGGCGTGTCGATGAAAACGATTTATCTCAGATTTTCGTTATGTGCAATAAACGTTCGGTATTGTTTCGAATTTGCTATTTCTTGCATTTAATGAAATACGATATTTTTTTAAAGATAATAAAACATCAAAGAAATCGAGAAATCGTGTTTCGTTTCATTATTTATCCTTAACGAAAATTACCTACTTTTGTTTTTGATATTTTCGTGAAAATTGAAGGTTCAAAATTTGAAAAAAAAATTGCCAAAAATTGAAATAAAAACTTACTAATTCGATAACTATTAATTATTATATGACAAAATATATTTTTTTGATTTGTAAAATCATTATGATAATTATAATAATTAATGATAATTTTATGAGTAATTTTTTTCATTTTCAATGTAGTTACAAGTGAATCTCTTCCTTTCTTATTGTTACAAGTTCTATCATAGTGAAAAAAAGTATCGATATCAAATAATTTTAAGATATAATTCGTTTCTAATCTTGCGATATATAGTAATTATAGTATCGAATAATTTCGATCAAATTTTGATTTTTTTTCTTTTTCTTTTTTTTTCAATTTAAAATTAAACATGTTAGAGACTTGATTATTTTTTTCGATTAATTCAATTAATTTCTTCGATAAATTTAAATGAATCGTTTCTCGTTATGGATAATCTTTAAGAAAGAAAATATAAAAATGTCGGCTGATGCTTATGTTTCAAATTATAAGTAATTTAATTTAATATTTAATTAACATTTAAGATAAAGCAAGATGAAGAGATAGTGAAATGAATCAGCTGATCGGTCAGCAGTCGTTGTCGCAATTGATACTTGTCTAGTCTTTCAATGAAAAATTCAAAGAGATATATTTATATCATTTTATGTACACGATTTAAATATGAACGCAATATAATACGTGCTATGCAAAGAAAAAACAATAAAGAAAATATAATAATACATATATAATATTATTTATGCATTATTTTTAATCGAATGTAATCGAATCTTTTTTATCTTTTTTTGTGTGATAAATAACTTTAAATATAATCATAATCAAAATAAAAGTAATCATTAAAAAATTTTAAATTTTGCTTAATAAAATTACTTTTGCATTTTAATCCAATATTTTGATTCAAGATTTTATTCTTTTTTTACAGCCAATACTCAAACAAATTGTACTATTCATGAAGTGTACATAGAGCCTTGCAAAGAAATCGCAGAGGGGAAGCCATGTAAAATAAAAAGAGGAGTTATTGGAAATATGACATTCCATTACACGCCTGGTAAATATTATATTATTTATTATAATATAGAAGGAAAAATAAAATTTATAAAAATGATTCATAGTTAAGTTTGTATACAATGTTTTAAAAAATTTATATCGAAATGAAAAAATATAATAATATGAACTAATGAAATATTCTATTTTTAATTTTTCAGCCTTCTCTTCGGACAAAGTACAAGGACGAATATTTTGGGCAAGTCAAGTAATGGATATTCCATTTTTGGGAATGAATCCTGATGCTTGTTTGTCAACTTCCTGTCCAATTGAAGCAGGATTAAGAAATACATATCACGTGGAAATACCAATTTTAAAGAAATATCCTGTTGTAAGTATTGGAAACAATTGTATTTTATATGATGATCTGATATTTTTTAATCATTTCTTAAACGAATTCATTATTCTTATGAATTTATATGTAGGAAGAATTCATAAGTTCTTATTGTAGATAAATTAAAAAATTTTAATCAATATTATTAATATTCGATCACGAAAAATATTATTTATAACATTTTCTTTTTTTTATATATCTTTCTTTCTTTATGCAGAAAGAATTCGAAATTCAATATATTGTTATTTAATCTTCAATTCGTATCAATGATTTACTTGTTTCTGACAATCCTCGAACATTTAAAAAATACTGATTGTTATTAAAGGCTGAAATAATAAAAGCGAAAGTAATAGATTCTATTTTTAAGTATGTTGTATGAAAATTTTAATTACATCTTTTTTATTCAATTAATATTAAATTATTAAGATATAAAAATTATAAATTTAACGCTTTTCTCCTGTAACATTCAATTATCATAATTTTTTTATTTTATATAATAATGAAACAAAATTCTAAATATAAGGAATTAAAAATACGTTACGTTAGATTAATCATTTTTGAGATGAAACGATAAAAATATAACTAATGAAATAAATTGAAATATAATATAAATAAAGAAATAATTAATAATATATTAACTATAATTGTTTCTATATTAAAGTAATATATACATAAATATTTTTATATTAGATTAAAATGAATATCAATTGAAATATATTTTTGTTTCAGCGAACTTATGATCTTAAATGGAAAATCTGGAACGATGAAGAGCAAGAATGTTGTTTTATGTTCCAAATTAAAATAACAAAATGATATTAAATTATATGTGATTCATCGTACCATCACGCTCAATTAATTAATATTTTCGATTCGTTAATTTAATAAAATAAATGGATAATTATCGACAAAATGAATTTCTTTGTTACATTCCTCTTTTTTATTATTCAATTTTTTTTTAATTCTTTTTATATTGGAAAATTACATTAAAATACATTATTATTAATAAATAATTTTTCGTATTCATATGTTACTTTTTACATTTTTGATAAATAAAATCTTGAAACTTTTTTATCAGATTTTATATAATATTCGAGAAAAATAATTATATTGATTTAATTTAGTATTTATTAGATATTACATGTATCATTATGAAGACTTAAAGACTTTGTCAAAAAATGATAATATTTTCTTGAAATGAATACTTATATAAATAAGAGAGAGAAATATAAAAAGAGAAAAACTTCAAAAAAAAGTCGCTACGGATAGGATTCGAACCTATGCGGGAAAAACCCATTGGATTTCGAGTCCAACTCCTTAACCACTCGGACACCGCAGCTTATGCAACTTACCGTTTAAATTCTACATTATTAGTTCATTTTGATATTAAAATAGCAGTAATATTAAATAAAATAAAATATATTTTGATTTTTTATTCATACGATACAATTCTATATTATAAAAAAATATACGACATAAATAAATATGAAAATTAGATTTGAATGATACTCTATACATATAATACATTTTTTATGAAATTATTAAATTTAATAATATTACAAAATATTATTTAAGTCGGTAAATTATAAAATTAATAATATATTAGTAGAATATTAAAAATTGTTGAACAATTTAAACATTTCGCATTTTAAAATATTTATTAAAAATCTACAGGTATCTGCCTATACCATTATCGATATAGTAGTTGATAATGTGATTTTACTTGTTACGCTATTTGTATTTATGCTGATTGTATTTATTAAACTACAATATTGAACTGAGAAAGCTATATGCGTGATATAAAAGAAAGAAATTGCAACTAATATAAAAGATTTACTTGTAAAGATTTTATTTATAAATAAATTTTATTATATTTTATTTTATATAATTTTCTTATAAATTTTTTTATTTATTTTTAGCTTTCTTTTAATATTTAATATTTAATATTTGTATTAATTTTTTTTTATCATGTTTTTATTCAATTTTAGATATATTTTTCGATGATATATGATATGTTTTTCAGATTTCTACGCTTTTTTTTTTAGATTTAATCAATATTTATGTTTATAAATATTTAAATGTTTAAATCTTACATTTCATTTTTTCTAATTTCAATGATTTTTATATTAAATTAATTATATAATATAATTATATAATATAATAATCATAATATGTTATACATTTTATTATATTTTATTAATATTATACATTATATATGTTATATTTTTTAAATTTTATATATTTAAATATAATATACTATTTGTATTTAAATATGTATATAAATGTTATAAAAATTTACAATTAAATTTACAATGTATTTCAATTTTCGCGCGGCCGAAGTGAATAAGAAATCGCTCCAGCCAATTAAAAAACAGTTAAGTTCTAGCAGCAAAACGAATCAGTGCGCATCATAATGCGCATCATAGTGCGCATTGTACTACGCATGGTATCAGTCTACAGTTGAAAACCGTAGTGGTGGGATGTGTTTTGCCGTGAGTAATTACATATAATTTTTATTAATAGGATATTGTATTATAATTATTAAGTTTAATTTTTAAGATTATTAAGCCTTGTTTAATTAATACATGTTTGTGTAACCATTATTATACCAAAATTGAATATCTTTGACAAATAATTATTTGATTGAAGTTTCGAAGGCGGGATGGCTTTGAAAGTGTATACAATATGATAATTAGGAATTAATTCGACGACTTTCATACAAATGAGGTATGTTTTATTTTATAGAAAATATTATAAATCTCTTTTTGTCGTTTTATTCATATAAAGATAGAAGTAATTAAATTAATATAATCAATTCATATATACATATAATATTCTTATGCTTTTTATGTATATGCTATTTTCTAAACATTATTAATCCTTACGTTTTTCGTGTGATATTATTTTTGTATTTTGATTTTATATTTGAAACCTTAAAATTTGAAATCTTAAAACTGAAAATATTATAATATTTTCGAGAACATTTACATTCATAGCACGTTCGACATATTTATACTTGTCGAATTGTTGAGCATATCCCCTCCCCAATTTGTAATGTGATATATCGAATCGCGGCACAAGGTGTCATTTCGTTGTCGAAACTCGTGACGGTTAGACGCTTTATATCAGGTATGTGCTTTATTATTCCATAATACATATTTGACAATTATTCTTTGTATTCTTCATAATGTTATTTTATTAATTTTATTACATGTTCAATTATTAGATATTAATATCATTGATAATTGTTTAAAGATTAATTTATTCAATTTTTTTATTGTTAATTAAACTATTAAAGTTATTATTAGTTTATATGAAGAACTTTTGAAATAGAATTAAACTAAGTTATTATTTTATTTTATTTTATTACATTTAGTTAATTTTTTACCTTTTATATATATATATATATATATATATATATATATATATTAGTTAAT